AGGATGAGGCAACTGAAATGCAGAACAGCTAACTGGTTGATTTAAATGTATAAATCTGATACATTTCAGAGCCAAGGACTAAAACCTAGGCAGCTTCCGGCTCTTAACTTTTGTGCTTTTAACCTATGTCATAGGAAAGGAATCAGCAAGGTTCCACATGGAGGAATCCACAGTAGGATTCAGGAAATCTCAGTTCACCTTCCATCCCCATGGGTGTCTCCCAGGGTAGCACAAGGGCCAGTTCTAGGCTCTGCCTTCTTCCCTGAAACACCAGAGTCTGTCTTGCTGCCCCAGACCACCTTCGGCTCTGGCACGCCACATGCACACACTGCTTTCACAAATGAGGTCACCATCTTGCTCCATGAGGCAGTGTGCTGGGTAGGGTCTATTCTGTGCCTGTGTCTCTCCTGGAACTTGTTCAGCAAAAGCCCAGTAAGCAATCCCAGGGCTCCACTGAGGGCAAGGTCCCTCTATCAGCCCAAGAAGGGGGCTGCGGGGGAAAGAAAGGAAGAACAGAATCAACCCTCTACCATGTGAGCCAGTCACACTGCTCCCAGTGGGCCTCGTCAGTCAGCAAAATCCTGCCCCCCCCAGTTCCCATTACAGAATCACCACTGTGAAATAGGCAGCCTAGGATTCTGTCAGACAGAGGCCCCCAGGGTCCCTCAGTGGGAGTCAGCCCTCCCCAGAATCAGCCTGTGGGTTACACTGGGTGCCCTTCACATCAGCATCTCAGCACCACCCTTCGTGGAGCTGTTTGCCTCCCCTGGGAGGGTGTTTACACACATTCGGTGCACATAGCACAATTTCATACAGTTTTCCTGATATAATTTCATGGACTTAGCACACACTGTTCATTAACAGTGGGAAGGTGGGACTTGCACGGCATCCTGGCCCAGCGACCCTTCCTTCCCAACACCTCCTGGGTGCTCTCCCCTGCCACCCGCACACACCCAGAGGTGACTCTGTGGGGGCATCTCTCTGCTCAGGTACAGATTGGCTGCCACACTGATGACCTGACCAGGGCCAGCAAGCTATTCCGAGGCCCACTCGTGATTAACCGGTGCTGCTTGGACAAGCCCACGAAATCCATCACCTGCCTGTGGGGCGGCCTCCTCTACATCATTGTGCCTCAGAGCAGCAAACTGGGTTCCGTGCCTGTCACTGTGAAAGGGGCCGTGCACGCTCCATACTACAAGCTGGGTGAGTGGGGACCCTGGAGGGAGCCCCAAGGGGACAGGGCTGGGGGTGAGGAGCCCTGCGGGGTAGGGAGAGAGAAATTAATTAGGTCTGGTGGAGGGGAAGACGGTAAGCGGCCTTAGGTTCAGCTCTGGGGCCAAGGAGATAAAGTCCGAACCACGTCCACAGGGACTTCATAGAAGAACAGAGGGGGTGTGTGGCTGTTCGTGACCCTGAAGTTCTCCTCCTGGGGCTCAGGTGGTATGACTTACCAGGAGGGACTTGGGAAAGTGAGTATGAAGCCCACGGCCTGTCTTCCAGGGGAGACATCCCAGGAGGAGTGGAAGAGGCGGGTCCAGGAGAATCCGGGTCCCTGGGGAGAGCTGGCCACAGACAACATCATCCTGACGGTGCCAACTGCAAACCTGCGGGCCCTGGAGGAGCCCGAGCCGCTGCTCCGCCTCTGGGATGACGTGATGCGGGCTGTGGCGCGGCTGGGGGCCGAGCCCTTCCCCCTGCGCCTGCCTCAGAGGATCGTCGCCGACGTGCAGATCTCAGTGGGTGGGTACGCGGTGCGCGCGTGCTGTCCCCAAGGGCCTGCCTGCCTGCCTCTGCACAGCCATGCACTGGGCAGCCAACTGAGTGAAGTGTTTTTCCAGCAAGACGTAAGAGATATAATTCTTGCTATTTAAGTAAAACAAGAAAAAAATTTAAGGAAAATAGACTCAGCCATCTTCCCCAAAAAAACTGAAATCTGCCTAAATGTCTCAACCATTATGGGATGGTTAAGTAACATTGTTTGTATCTTCTATAAATATGGAGGAGACAGAAGTGACAGCTTGATGATGAGAGGAAGTAGGACAAGATTATGTGGCACAAAAAAGGCTGTGGAGCTCTGTGAACACAGTATGTTAGAATATGTAACAATTCAAGTCAAAACATCAAGAGATGCCGTCACACGGGGGGATAGTGCGAAGTGGTGAGCTTTCACCGATGTCTGCCGGGGGCTCCACAGAGCGGGTAAAAATGGTGGAGGGCCTCCACGAGGTCACAGTCGTTGGGAGCAGAATTTAACAACTTTAAGACACTGCGTAAAGAGGTCTTTGCCAGTGTGTCAAGAAACCTGAAAAATCAGGGCGTATAGAAATTAAAGGACAATGGAAGTTTCTTTAGACCGAGTGTTTTGGGCTCACATAGATGATCATGATAAAGTGGCGTTGATGTGGGCAACTCCAGGTCTAAATGATGAAAGGGGAGCCACCCGCAAAGAGTCTTTAATTTTGAAAAAAGGATGTAATGACACAAGTTCACACAGACAGGGCAATCTCAAAAAAATAGAAAAATCGAATAGTAACACAAATGGCTGTTTGCAACCTGCTCCTCTCCCGCCCTCCGGAAGCCACACTCACTCAGGTCAGAGGGAAGATGCAGATGTTATTTAGGAGGAGAGCCCAGAAGGGTTGGTTTGGATTGCCCTTCTGGGTGTTTGGAGGTTTTGGAACTCATCGGGGGTCCTTGGGAGATAAGAAGAGGATTTTGTAAGGTGGGTGGGAGCACTCTAATCCTGTTTCTCCCTCCGGTGTTTTCCAGGCTGGATGCATGCAGGGTATCCTATCATGTGCCATCTGGAATCTGTGCAGGAGCTCATCAATGAGAAACTCATCAGAACCAAGGGGCTGTGGGGCCCTGTCCATGAGCTTGGCCGCAACCAGCAGAGGCAGGAGTGGGAATTCCCACCGCACACCACCGAGGCCACCTGCAACCTGTGGTGTGTTTACGTGCATGAAACCGTCCTGGGCATTCCTCGAGGCCGTGCCAATATTGCTCTGTGGCCCCCGGTTCGGGAGAAAAGAGTCAGAATCTACCTGGGCAAGGGTCCCAACGTGAAAAACTGGAATGCGTGGACTGCACTGGAAACGTATTTACAGGTACTGTGCGGGCCCCCGAGCAGCACTGTTGGGCCTGAAATACTCAAGTGCCCTGGGAGACTGCCTGCCACACATATGCCTCATGCTAGGCCTTGGGAGACCCTCACCAAGCCCACCTGTGACAGACCCAGTGTATGTGCCCATCAGTGCACCACTTTGCAGGACCTTGAAGTAGACTTAACTGCCTCAGCCCTACCCATGATTTTGAAGAGATTCACAAGAGTAGATAAAAAGCACTGAGAAAGGTGGACACCCAGCAGAGGCACATGTAGAATGATAAATATAGTTCCTACAGCTGGCTTTGACCGACATGCCTGAGAGTGAAGCCAACCTATACTATTTAATAGCTATCCAAAATCAAACACCCCTCCCCACCCACGCACACCCAATATATGGGATATTGTTTTCCTTAGATGAACACCATCTTCTCAGTATGACTTGGCCATGCCTCAGTTTCTGCCTTATGAGCAACCCAGGAATGCTCACTGGCCTGGGCCTGGAGGTGGCCTTTGAATTACCACTCAGCTCCCCAGTCCTCTCCCCCAGCCCCTGGGCCAGCTCCCAGCTCACTGCGGAGACCTTCATCACTTTGGATTCTGGGGCTCCACCTCAAGCCAGGCACCCTCTATTCTGGTTCTCCCACCTGCTCAGATCCCTCTCTTCGTTCCCACTGCCCCGAGAATGATCGCAAAACCGCCAAGTGACTCCACTTTGTCTCTGGGACCACTTCAGCCCAGGGACAGAAGTTCCCCGAGGTTGTTCTGGGGAACTGGTTAAATGCCTCTTATCCCCCAGCCCCCGTAACCCCGCAGGATGGCTGCCCTTTTCTGAAATTATGCCTCACTGGTAATTCTGGCTACCTGGACTACACGTACTCTTCTGCTTCTACCAGACTCTTTTTTTCCTAAAGTCCATTTTAGTACCCTTGCAAATTGACATAGACCTCTAATTAATGAGAAGTTTGTCAGGATAGTGGGGAGGAGTTCCTCTATTATTAGGGTTTAACTTTGCAACTATGAAAGGAGGATTTTTTTCACTTCAGCCCATTTTAAATCCTTGCGTAGTATCTATGGCCCCTTCCATGATCTAGTGAGATACATGAATGACCGGTGGTAAACACTGGTAATCACCACCACAGCCGTCAGTTACTGAGGGCTACGTTATGCTGGACGCTGTGCTCGCTCAGAGGCCTCTCCTAAGGGTGGTGTGCTGCGAGCAACACTGTTCCCAACATAACGCAGGCCAAACAGGAGAGAGGGGCTGTGACAGATGTGGAACTAGCATTGTAAGGGGCTTGAATACATTGAGTTGATCTATTATAGTGTTTGTCTGGGCTTTTCATAGACTGGATGTCTCATCCTGCCGCTGCTTTCTCTTTCCAGCTACAAGAGGCTTTTGGTTGGGAGCCGTTCATCCGTCTCTTCACTGAGTACAGGAACCAGACCAACCTGCCCACAGACAATGTTGACAAAATGAATCTGTGGGTGAAGATGTTCTCCCACCAAGTACAGAAGAATCTGGCTCCTTTCTTTGAGGCCTGGGCCTGGCCTGTCCAGAAGGAAGTGGCTACCAGCCTGGCCTATCTGCCTGAATGGAAGGAAAATATTATGAAATTATACCTCCTCACACAGATGTAAGGAGTGCCCAGCGAGGTGGCAGGTAGAGAGGTTTGGGGAGGTAGGCAGAGATGGGGATTCACTCCTCGACCTCTGCCTCTTAGGGTTCTAGCCTTGCCTTCTTGGCTTACTGCCCCTGTACCTTACTACCGACTTCTGCCTTTAGAAAGTGGGTTAAGCACACAGCAGGAAGGAGGGTCAGGACTGCTCAGGAGCAGGCCTTCTATTTATGAGTCTTGTTCCTCTGGTCTCAGCTATCAGATTCCCTCCTGAGCCTATGTTAGCACAGTTCTGAGAGCTTTGGCATCTGCTTCTAGGCCAGAAGTTCAGCAGCAGCAGCCATTGCCCATAGAGAGTAGTTCTCATGCTGACACTCTGAGAACTCTCTAGGCTTTTAATTTTGATAAGTTTTTCCAAAAATCTGACCATAGAACCCAACTGAAATACAAATTTACCAGGATAGCCAGACAGCTCCTTGATGACTCCTGTATTTTGGGTCTTAGGTAGTTTTTAAAAAGCTTGCAAAGCAATCTGGTGCACCAGAAAGAGCCTGTAGCTAGGGTTAGCTCTTTGGAAAGTCATTTTATCTCTGTACTCCCATTTCTTTACGCATGAGATGAGAATAAAAATCCCCGGCTCACAGGGCTGTCGTGAACCTCAGACTGATCATACTGAAGAGGTCTGGGAATGCCGCGGTGCACAGCGCGCACCTAAGGGACACGCATTTCATGCTGGTCCACAGCGCAGTGAGCTTACTACTTCCCATTCCCTTCCCAGAGCCTAGAGGCTACTAGCATCATCTCTCTCAGGAGAACTCCTGGGTCAAAGCCTGGTTCTTTCCCCTTCAGTTGTATAACTCCAGGCAAATTCCTGAACTTCCCTCTGTCTCAATTTCCTCTTCTATAAAATAAGATCTATTTCATGGGATTATTGTGAGGATTAAATTTTAGTACTTCTAAATGTATTTAGAACAGAACTTGGCAGTTAGGTGTTGACAAAATGGCAGCGGCCATTACTATTATCTCACTAACTCGGTATCATTCTAGAGCTGGCCCTCACTTTCAGATGGCATTGACAGATGCAGTGTGATGTACCCCCTCCCATCCTACACTGTATACACCAGCCTCTGAAAGCACTCTGGCACTTTGCTTTAAATTCGCAATAGAGTTTTAAAAGCAACTTGGGGTTTGATCTCTTTATTCAATTCCACCTTTCGGGTGAGACTCCTTCTTTAATTAAATCAAGAGTGGGCATTACTTGAAAAACCAGAACAATGCCACAAGGGTGTTTGTCCTTAGTAGACAGTGAGCATCAGGTTTGGGGGTGGTGTTTACATTTCCACAGCGACAGATTCCTATCACTGTCAGGAGTTACTTACCAGTTTGGCAGATAAACTACACGCACACACATAGAAATCTTTACTTTGGAACAAGATACCTGGCTATAACTGACCCAAATTTCATTTAATTGCAACACATTCAAAGTTGTTCTTAAATTTTTTCTAATCTTATTCAGAACCTCCCATTTCTTTGTAGTTTTGACTAGAGTTGGGGCTCTAAGAGACATCCGGCCAGTTCTGTTAGGTTACTGGTTTTCATGTAGTTTTAATACACTTTTATTTGCTTTGTTGGGAAGTGAGTGGATACACAGACAATGAGATTTGACCTCGATAATGTTTTTCTTTGGATTCTTTTATCATGTCATTTCTCAGTCCTAGAATTATTTCCCTTACTTTATGAGTATCTGTCATCTAGGTGCTTTAAATAAACATGTTGAATATTCATTCAACATTTAAAATAATTGCTATCAAGTAGTGGGTTGTTGAATGTGCTAAGTATTGTACTGGTTCCTTTATATAGATTATTCCATTTAATCTTCACAATAATCTTATGAGATGGAGATTCATTGCTCCCATTTTAGGAATGAGTGAACTGAATTTTATGTAGCTCAAGTAAGTTGACTAAGGCTACATTACTAGTAAGTGGTAGAGGTGGGATTCGAACCCAGGTGTTCTGATCACAGAATGGGTGTTAGTAACTAAAGTGCTTTGAATAAGCAAATATATGAGTAAATGAAGACACCACCCAGCCAACAGAAGGACCTTTATGTCCCTGCTTGCCAGTACCTTGGCTGCTTGTACTTAATCTTCATCTAATTTTATCAGAAACAAAAAGTCCCTTTGTTTATTCCAAATGCCAGCTGCGGGGAAGAATTTGAGGTAGGCTCCTGAAGTGCTTCTTAAAAGACAGTGGTGCCTTTAGTGCGATCCAAGTCTTTTAGGTTCCAGGTTATTCCAGTTTCAGTCATTCTCTCTAGGGCCCCAAGAAAGTGTTCTACTAGCTTACTGGATTTTGAGTGACAGGTTATTTTGGTCAAGTGCCTGACTCCCAGAAGTCCCAGACATTGCATGTTCTCACAACGGACACTAGAACCTCAGGTGTTTAGAACAATATTTGCATGCATTCTGGCCCTCTTTAATCTACTTTAGCAGTATAGCCCTGGGGACCTTTTAAAAACATAAAGCTATCTGTGTCACCCCCCTGTCTAAAAGCTTGCAGTGGGACTTTGAATTTAAGATGATGAACTGAACATATAAGTTTACTTCCCCTCCCTTCCCAGGCCCCACTGAAACTGAAGTCAAGAAATACAAAAGAGAATTGACACATCTGAGCAAAGACAACTGAATGGATTTGGCTATAACCGAAGATCTCAGCACATTTCTGGAGGAGAGAAACTGGATGAAGCATGATAGTGGATGGAACAGTGAAGGTGTCTTTCAGGCAGAATATAAGCTGATCCAAACAGCACAACCCCAAAGAGACTTGGGCATATGAAAAGTCTATCTACATAGAGAATTATTCTAGCTATAAAATTAACCCCATCGCATTCTACCCCAATCCTTGTGCACAGAACATAGGCAGTCTACTATTGGTACCAGTTTAGAATCTGTTGTCATTGTTGCTGTTTGTATAAAGGAGTTAAGTAAACTGCCCGTGGAGAGGTAGGAGTTGGTGCTTCAGAACAGCATTTCTCTTTTTGTGGAAATAAGTGACTCCCCACCCCCAGCCTATCAGCTAATTCTCCGACAGTTGAAACCCCTCCTCCAAGTACTCATGTGCTTCCAGCCACAGAAGAGGCTTATTAGAGAAAAAGACTGAACCCTACAATGGCAGAAGAAACCCACACCAACTCCTATAAAAGTCAACAGTTATATATTGATTCTTAAAAGCAAATGGTCAGCTAGGAATCCCCTAGACACTGGGCATCAGGGTGAGGAGGGAGAGAACCAGGGAAGAAGCATGTAAGAAAAGTAACCAGTTAGAATTAGGAGATTTGAAAACATACAAAAACTCCAGAGGAAAACAAAGTTAACATGGAAAAAATCTTACTATATCTTCAGAGAGATTTGAAGTATATTTGTAAGATGAACACAAAGAAGGGGAAAACTCTGAGAATAAAAAGCCCACTAAAAGTGAAATAAGACTGCCAAAAATATTCAGTAGACAGGCTAGGAAATAAAGGCGAGAGAAACCCCCCAGATACAAAGCAAGGAGAAACAGCAGAAAATACGAAGAAAGAGACGAAGACGATCAACATCTACCCATTAGGAGCTTCTGAGAGAGAACATATGAAATATAGGTAAAGAACTAAAAGAAAAAGGATTGAAGACCAGAAAGAACTAATTCTTGAGATTGGGGGCCCCTGATGTAACCTGTATCTAGACACGATCTTGTGAAATTTTGGAGTATTTAAGGATAGAGGGAAGACATTAAAAGTGCCCAGAGAGAAAATAAAATGAGGTCATCATAAAGGGCTCAACTAAAAAGGGTGAGAAATTGACTTCAAGCAGATTTTTCATCAATGACACTGAATACTAGGAGCCTATGGGGCCATGTCTTCATGTATGGCAAATGCTTGTACCCAGGATTCCATAGCAAGCTAAACTGTCAAGAGCAAAGTCAAAATGAAGACCTTCTCTGACAAGCAAGATCCCAGAAAGTCTACCTCCTTTGCACCCTTACTGAGGAAGTACCTTGAGGTTCTCCAGCGAAATGGCAAGAAAATCAGAAAGAGGAAGAAATGCAATCCAGCAAACAATGGCGCTCACCCAGGATGTCTCACTCTAGAGTGACAGTTACCTGGCAACCCCTTTCCCCCCTCCCAGAGTGCAGTCCCGGGCTCTCTGGGAAGAATATGCATTCTGTGCCATAGGTAGTATCATGGAGAAGCTGGAACATATGAGGACATGGAGGACATATGTTCGTTAGTCAACAGAAAGGAAAAGAAAACAAAAATATGTCAAGAAATTCAGGTCCAATTACAAAACAACAAAAATTACTTGCGGGATGTAAGAAGAGACCCAATTTGACATTGGTGGTGGCTATAGTTTCCTTCAAGCAGCACAGGCATCATGACATTGGATATGCATGAAAGGAAATATCCTAACTTCTATTTGGCTCTCAGTAATATTTACATAGCCAAAATAATATAAAAGCTATTTATCGGCATTCGATGTTCTGATGAGCCTACAGACAAAACATGAAAGGCTTAATTTTTTATTCAGAACTGCAATGGAAAGTAATCAATCCTGACAAATTAAGGAAAAGGAGAGCAGAAAGAGGCCGGAGATTAGTTGAGGGAAAGAAGAATAGGGCTATTTACATAGTGAAAATGGGGATGAAAAGTTATATAAAGTCTACAGGTAATGAAGAAACTAGAGGATGTGTATCCTGTTCAAAGCTGTAAATTAAACCCGTAAGAGTGTGAAAAATGACATACCTATCAAAAAATTGGGGAAAGGATAGGCAAAGGAAAGGTGGGGACAGTGTAAGTTAAATCCTTATCTTTTGTAATGGGGAATTATTAAAGATGTCTAAAGTTGATAAGTCAAGAAATTATTGCTTAAACATATTATTTAATGTTAGGAAGTTAGTTAAGAGAAGATCTAAAAATAGAAATTGTTAAATGCATCGCCACTAGGGAATGGGACCGGGGCTTAAAAGGGTGTGGTGGGAAATCGTGTTTCATTTTGAGTCCTGTGCTATTTAATTTTTTACCTTGTGCATGTATTACTTTGAAAAATTTTTAATAAACTCAAATAAAAATCCTTCAATGGCTTCATACTAAGATACGGTCTCAGGAAAACTCCTTGAAATGGCTTATAAGGCCCTCATGCATGTGGGTCCACTTGAGGTGTGCAGGCTCAGCACTCTAGTTCTAGCCACACTGAATATCTTCCAGCTGTTCAAACACACTTCCCCTTCCCTTGTTTCTATAGGTGTTCCTCAAAAGGCAAAGGCTGCCTCTCATCTCACCATATGTCTGCAGAAGCTTACTGTCCAGCAGGTTTTCAATATTTGTTGAGCAAATGAACACCAACAGGGCACTGCATGAAGATCGCCAACTAGTGTTCCTTCCCAAGAAGGTCTATATTCGTCCCTATTCTGGAAAACATTTCAAGACCATAACGGGGATGTAAGCTTTCCTGCACGCCTATTCATCTGATAATTTTAGTAAGTTTTAGTCTTAGACCAGGTGGTGTCAGGAGTTCTGTCAGTCTCCATGGCATGTTCTTTGCCACATTACCTAAACATCATTTATAATCTGGTTTCAGCTATTTTTCCCCTATATATTGGAGAAAGAGTCAACTATTTAGTGGAAATCTCCATGCTCCCAGGTTTCTTGTGTCCTGCTATTCCTAGTCTCTCAGGGACTCTTCCTTCTCATTAGTTTACTTTCTTTTGTTGTCCAACTCTAAGGCCAACCAGAGCTCCCTAATGGTATTGGCTTTACAGCGAATCTTCAACAGCTGCATTTATTGGAAATCCTTCCTACCTCCTCTAAATAAAATCAATCTCTGATATACTTAGTCCCTAAACCAGTGTCCCTACCTGATACCACAACCTCCCCTAATATATGTGTTTAGCATCTATCTTAGGTGATACATCCTTAGAAGTTACCTATTTGTGCTGACAAAAGTAACACAGCCTAGCATTGTTTCCAAGACGACTTTCCTCCTATGTTCTTTATTCTTTTAAGGCCTTTGGACCCCGGTTGAAAAGGACTTCTTTCTTTGACCCACATCATTGGAGTCAATCTTCCTAGTGTATTAGGGAAGGGGTGTGGGGCAGGGCAGTCCTCACCACACAGACACAAACTGCACGTCTAATAAAAAGAAAGCTAAAGAAATGCTACTTACGCATTTAGATTCTCATACAGTTGCATGTTATAAAGAAGCGGCACTTCTTTGATAGGAAAGCTTGGGTAATTTAAATCATGTCAATGTTCTATCCTCATGTTGGGTGTTTGGTTTCATAGATTTGTTTTCTTAGAGAGAAACAGAATAAAGGAGTGGGTAAATTAAAAACAAGCCATATATTGACCAGTAATCACAGTATCAGAGGCCAACGATTGTGTCAATACAGACAAGTGTCCCTGTGGCCATTAAAACGTTACTTGTGTTCATCTGAACTATAAAGGAGCTCAAATATAATTATTAATGAAATATGTACATGTAGGTATTATATTTTCTTTCCATAGGCTGCCTAAATTTTGACATAAAATTCACTTTCAGAATGCCGAAATTATTTAGCCTAATTTAAGATCTGGGGTAGTGCCAAGAGGGTGGAAGGGGGAGGGCAGAATGATCGGGTACAATAGAAAGCAAGCAAGCAATCCAGAAGTGGTCCCTCGGGCAGAGAGAAGACTCCCTCGACCTTACCGCAGCCTACAGTCCAGGGCCCAAGACCTACGCTTAGTCCCATTATCGTGAAGGGTCTGTATCTTAAACCAGGGCCAAGAATCCGAAAAAGGCCATAAATTCTTCCCTCACCCCTGTTATCAGTGAAGGGTTTGTGCTTTAAACAAGTGCCAGTCATCTGAAACGAGGTCATAAATTCTTCCCTCACCCTCCATCAAGGTAAACACAGGTGGGAGAGGCATTTTTTTTTTAAAAACAATTTCTCCTAACCTTGCCTACAGTGCAGTGTTGGAGCCAAACTGTTACAAAGGAAACAGTGTGCTTTAATTAAGGCTTTTAAGATATTTAATCACAAGACAACTGGCACTATGAACTTGTGTACTGGCAACAGGAGCAAACTGGATCTCAGGTCCTCATAGGAAACATAAAGCGTAAAAGTCCACCCGCTGTGTCAGTAGTGTTGGAGCGACCCTTAGATAAAGCCCAGAGGCTCTCCGGTACTGCGTAAGGAAGGGCTTTAATGGGACGGGGAAGAGGACGTCCTCAGGGATAATAAATGATATGACTAATGCCCTGCAGTCAAAAATCACCAGGAACACACATATAGTTGGTCAAGCTGGATTTATTTACTCACTACGGCTAGGAAAAAACACACACCACAGGGAACTGCGGGCATCTCTGCAAAAAGGTGTTAGAAAACCTTTTATAGGAGATGGGCTTTGGGTGGATAATTTGGGGAGGGTCTGGGGAAGAAAGGCTTTGTTCTGGGTTAGATGCTGTCAAGAAGCAGGGGGCAATTCTACGATGATCTCAGTAAATCTCATCTGTAAGGCAGGCTGACTAAAGCAATCATAAAGCTGTAATTTTTTAAATAAACAGCATTTAAGACAAGAAAGATAGATTGTAGATGAGAGAGACGGCTGTTTGGTATTTTATGGCTGCCCAGAGATTCTGTCATTGTCTCACTTTATCATTTTCTCAGACTGACTCTGTCTGATGTTTATGCTCTGAGAAACTGTTTACATGTAACAGGAGAACAACACGGCCTAGTGGTGAGTGTCAGACAAGTCCCTGGGTCACGGGCTGCTGCTTTTTCCCTTTCTCAATGCAAAAGAACAGAGGGAGAGCATTTTCTCATCTTAGAGAAGATTCAAATCTGGATTTCTCTTGACTAAGCATAGGGGACAAATTGGGGGAAAAATTAATGCTGTAAAGTACACAGGAGGTACTCTGGAAACAGATGGTCCCCTAATGATCCCATCGGCTTGGTGGAGGTCTTGGCTGTAACTCAAAATGAAGTTGGGACCATAAGTCAATACATATGGGTCACTTACTTACTGTTCTGAAACACGCCCACTCCTCAAACGTACAGATTCCCTGAGCTACTCCTGGGAGAAACAGGAATAGTCAGTAGAATAGCAGTTTGCTTTTTCCTAGGAGGAATAACAATACACCTCTACAATCTGTGCAAATGACTTTCTGTATATAATTGGGCTGTACAGAAGGAAGTGAAATTTAAAACAGAAGGATGCCCTGCCATTAGATACATAATGCTTTGATGAAAGAAGTCCAGAAATCATTTTCTCCAGCGCTCACACTTGCCCCACGGAGTGCATGGTTTCTGTGAGATAGGAGATTAAGGTAGTCAGGGTCTGTGGCTTCATCCAGATTAAAATTTTTCTTTTATCACAAAACTATATGAAGCCACTAAAGAAATACTTTCCCAAGTTAAATTAAAATCCTTCTTGTTTTCTCTGCCATCCTTTAAGAAATGTTCATAGAAATGTTTCTTAAACATTGATGACATCATTATGATATGTTGGCTTCTGTAAGAGGTACACCCACATTTGGACATCCTCTTTCAATCTAGCCATCATTTGAACACCTTTTACAATGCTAGGTACTGTGACAGGGTCTGAAAATACACAAAAAGCAATGAAGCACCTGTCCTCAGTGCTTATGTTCCAGTTTGAACATAAAAATGAACAAATAAACATATATTAGGTCTGACACATACTATGAAGGAAATATGAAACAAAGTAAGAATGGAGAAGAGAGTGCTCTGGGGAAGGAACTGGACAATGGGTAAGTTTGCTATTATATAATAAGGTCCTGGAGAGTCTCCCTGATAAGGTGATATTTGAGTAGATTCTTGAAGGAAATGATGGAGCAAACCACGCAGATAATTGAAGGCAGAGGTAAAATTACACATGGCATCCTGAGAGGAGTGAGACAGACTTGAGTTTCATCCCTGTCAGTCAACAGCTACTTTCTCAAATGTTAAGTCTTGACCACAGATTCTGACCTGTGGAAGCAACCTAATGGAAACTTAGCCATGGATCTAATGGAAACTCACAAGTTTGGAATATCTCTCCTCAAACTTCGAAGGCACATTTCACAGTGAATCTGGCAGCTTCCCCGCTTCGAAGTGTCTCTATGACCATGGAGTAGGGGACATCCCAGTCGTTGTATGGCCTCCAACAAAGTTACTGAATGGAGACATGACTCTGTACTTTCATATCCTAGCTTCTGACACCCTGTCTGTGGCCTAAAAGATCCTGTAACAGATGGAATTTGAAACCAAGTTCATATGGAGAAAATTGATTTAGAAACAGTTGGCTAAATTTGCACAGTGATAGTTTTGGTCTTATATATATTGACATCCATCAGGACAGATGTATAGAGAGCAGTGGGAAACTTAGACTATTACTCTTGGATTCTGACTCTATGTCCCTTCTTCCCCCCACTAAGCTGCATGATTGCCATTCAACCTCACTAAAAATTGAAAAGAACACTTTGGATCCAAGTCTGGATATAAAACGGAAAGCCTTGCGAAGGAAGACCTTGATGGCACAGTAACTCTGGAATAAATCAATTTGAAAAGAATTCTTTTTGCATTTACAGGAAAAAAATATTGTTGCTGGTCTCACTGAACCAGAAACTTCGACACTGAAGGGATTTCGCCTTCCATGACTCCCATTGCCCATACACTAGCCTCTTTTGATACTGCAACTCTTATGGATTTGTGCATGAAGATATAAAAACCATACTGGTGTGGGGGCAATGATAGGAAATTTGATCTGTTGTGTGCCTACTCAATGGGTCTGATATTTCAGAGCCAGAGGAAAAACATCTCAGCCTTGGGCTAAATCAGCCCCACTAGACAACTGACATCTTCAGTATAAAACCAAACTTTATGTCTGACCTGGAGAGAGGGGCAATTTAGAAATATAAGAAGACTCTCTCTTATTCCTCACTGGAGGAAAAATGTTTCAGCATGAATATCTCTGAAGTGGTAGTGGTATGTTCCAAGAAATCTCTGTAATTGGAGTATTACTGGCTCCTACCACATATGTTCCACACAGTTATGATCCAAAAAGAAAATACAGGCCCAGGTTAATTGCACAAACATGGCAAAGGAGGATAC